CGTTCCTCAGGGCAATCAATGTCAAAACGCCAAAAGATCATTTGGATTAATTTATGCATCGATGTCGATCGAGTTAAGTGCAATGTGTTGAGGAAATCAGCAACCCTGTTGTCCTGGCCTGAAAAGTTTTACAGAAGGCTTTCTGTTCAGGACCAGTCACTTCCCAATCGAAACCGTCAATGTGTGATTTTGCATCAAAATGTAAATATGAAATGTAGATTACGCAATGAATTTAATGAGACTGTCTAACACATTGTCAGTGGATGCCCCGCTTTGGCACAAACACAGTATCTTAAGCGACAGGATGGAATGGCTCGATCTTTTTATTACCGTCTTCGCTATGCTTGTGGTTTTGACACAGAGGCCCAGCCATGGTACGACCATATACAAAATCCTTTGGAATAGGCCCGTAGACAGCCTCAGACGTATCCAGGCCAGCAAGCCTGATCTTGTCCTTTTTGGTAAATCCAATGAAATCATTTATATCATTAAATTTTCTATCCCTATTGACACTAATGTGATTGACAAGATTGAGGAAAAACATGGCAAATATGCGGATCTCACTTTCGAAATATCACGCTTGCATCCCAAGTACCAAGTTGCCCGACTCCCCATTGTTCTCGGTGCCTTAGATTTGGTACCTCCCAATCTGTTGACTGACATTGTGAGGGTACCCGAGTTTGTTACCAGGAATACAGCCCTTCTGACAATCTGGGCGTTGGAGAGTCTACATATTAAGTTCTGGCTGGGTTTGACTAGGCAGCGCTTCCTGGGTGAAGTCCCATTCGCTGTCTGGGCTGCGTGTAGAGGGGGCAAGGGCCCTGAGCTGATGATGAGCATAACTAGCCTGACTGTGCAAAGATCACCCAAACCCTCTTTGCTGCTTTTTACACGGCACTGCATCGATGGGTGTTCTCTCGGGACAGGCATACATATTATGATTTTTGTGAATGTCCGTTCCATCCTAAAGTATGAGTGTGTCGCAATGAGAATACAACTTTCAGAATATCTTGATTCAGCACCATTCCCATTACGGCGGTAAAGAGACTGTTTGTTCAGGGAGAAGAGGATGTCATTTTAGATTTGCAAGGTGTCCATATGCGCTTTTAATAATATCCTGCATTATTACTTATATACTCAAATATGTTTTCTACACGAACCAATATAAATTGCGCAATAAAAATACAAAGAAAGGTTTCAAAGCGTTTTATGGTAGACTTCCAAATTTCACGCATCAGTGACACATATTATGTCCGATGCAATTCCCTATTTTGACTTCTCGACAGGTGAACTGATAGACTTGCCTTTGCATGTGTTTGTGACGGGTGTCGACGTTGGAGCAGGAGACGCTCACATTTTCGAGAACACCTGGTATCATAACTATGTGGATGGTGATTCATAAACACATGCTCATGATACAGTCGGAATTATACCGTCGAGATTTCTTGTGGCTACGGAAAGGGCTTCGTCGCGTTTATTTCCTGTTTGAGCAGAGCCCTCACACATGCTAATAGACCCGGCATATAATGAGCGTACACTACGAGTTTCAGTCATACCGTTGGCGCAAACTACACGTCAAGGGTAATCGTGAACACAACAGGAATATTAAATAATTCTTCGCAATATGTTGTTAGCGCACAACACTTACCCATTATGCTGCATACAGTAAACTACGGTTATAACAAACTCAAAGGGACCACTAATTTTAGTTCGTTATAACCGTAGTTCGTTACAAGTGAATATATAGCATGCATAGAGCAAATGCCCGGGGCCAACGAAACAATTCGTGATATCCGCCAGTTCGTTATGAACAATGCTTCACGAGACATGACCAACAGACAATCACATTTACATGCATCCCTGTTTGTTCACAGCTTTCATGCCTGCACTATGGCCAGTTTTAACACGATGGCGTGCAAGGCTGCAGGGCACTTGTCTATCGCTGCAATCTTCTTCCCGCATAGCGTGCATGACTCCGTGCCTTCTACGCAATGCCTGATAAATGTACGTTCTTCGTTAAATATTTATCAGATGCTTCAACGGTATGTTATACTACGTTATCGCACACGTGTATTTAATGTACGGTACAGTGTTACACATGCATTCTAACGTATAACGAACACTACAGTGATCGATGTATCTACACAAATTAATAGCAGAGAGCTAGGCGTGGGGCGACGTCTCAGATACGCTAGAGCGCCAGGTATGTGGCCAGACGTCTCAAGTATGTGCCCCAACGTCTCAGATATGTTGGAGCGTAGGGTATGTCCCCAACGTCTCAGGAACGCTAGAAGGTCAAATATATGACCTTACGACTCAGGAAGGCTACAGCGTCAGATATGTGCCCCAACGTCTCAGATACGCTCTAGTTTCAGGTATGAGCTAGAACGTCTCAGGAACGACATATTGTCAGATATGTGCTCCAACGCTAGAGTTTCAGTTATGGGCTCCAACGTCTCCGGTACGACATATTGTCATATATGTGCTCCAACGTCTCAGATACGCTAGAGATTCAGGTATGTGCTCCAGCGTCTAAGATACGCTAGAGTTTCAGCTATGTGCTCCAACGTCTCAGATACGCTAGAGTTTCAGGTATGTGCTCCAGCGTCTCAGATACGCTAGAGTTTCAGGTATGTGCTCCAACGTCTCAGATACGCTAGAGTTTCAGGTATGTGCTCCAACGTCTCAGATACGCTAGAGTTTCAGATATGTGCTCCAACGTCTCCGGCACGACATATTGTCAGATATGTGCTCCAACGCAAGAGGGTCAGATATGTGCTTCCACGTCTCAGGAAGGACATAGTGTCAGATATTTGCTCCAATACTAGAGGGTCCGATATGTGCTCCAACGCTAGAGGGTCAGATATGTGTCAGATATGTATAAGTCTCAGGTACGCTAGAACGTCAGTGCCCCTTGTTTTTTTGTACCGATAACTTAATATTCTGAAGCAGGACTCAATATTTTCAGTAAATGTTGTGCACATTTATGTGGAACAATTGTTCGTTTTGTAAGAAACCACAGACACCATGTCAACAATATCAAATGATCGACAGCAGCAAGTATCGGCGATGTAGCCAACCATGCACCGTCTGCAATAACATCGTAATACGTCTTGACAAGCCAGTCTATAGATCATATCTCCTCAGGCACATTTACAGTATCTAAGAGCGGTAATAACATATACTACCGAACCCTGCGCTCATTCTGTATGCTTAACCGCAATAGGGATGCTATGGATCTGTTGCCCACATCTGGCGTGCAAACAATTAACACCGCAAACATCAAAAAACAGTTACACTAATTCTATGACCTTTTCAAACAAAATATACATGTGTCATTCTCTACATTTTGTGGTATATTTGACGGCAATATGTTACCTGGGCAGCATCAGGGGCGCAAATTACAGTGTAATGACGCTATTGAACGATTTTTAATGGTTGGAAAATAAGCTTGTGATTAGTCGATTTTCGGTGAAACTGGTGGCCATCCTTTTTATATATTAAGTCAACTTCGAATGAAAAAATATAGGTTATAATTACTAAGGATGGGGTCGCAAAGACACTCAACTGGCTACTCAAAGCCCTTTATTACAATGGTTGGATGAAGTGTTGTCCAATGTCAGATATTTTTTATTTTCATGTGGTGATTCATTTGTGTGGATTTCCTAATATGTAGGGGATGCAAGATCTGGTCTTTTGCTCGATTAAACAAAGGTTGCAGAATATTTACCGTGAAAGCTGGCATTTCTTTGCCTTTCCTCAGTCATTACAATGATATAAGGTTTGCTGAAAACCAGCAAGGTTTATTAGTACGTTAGATGATAAATCTCCTCACTCTCTCTCCTCCCTCCCCCTCTCTCTTTCTCTCTGGGATTTTATCATACGAATATTATTACTTTTTATCATATTTATCGCTATATGTCAAAATTAAAATATATATAAGTATGCTTTTAAATAATAATAATCATGAGCGTTTGTAGCTTTTTACTTACTTGCGATTACTCCTTATAAAGGGGTAGACCGCCTTTATATGGCTTGACTAATTGGCAGTGCTATCAAATTCGACTTACGTCCCTGAAGTCCATGCTGGTTCGCATTTCACGACGTACATCACTTGAGCGGTTTTGGATAACCCATAGATATAGAATTATAAGTTTCATATGGTGTTTTAACTACATTGTCAAGACAAAAAGTGTGAACCGGGCCGGGGAGCATACTTCCCCTGCAATTTGTTCAGGGCAAGGTGTACAGTGATGAATCATCATAGCTCTACCATATACTGTTTATGTCATGGTTCTGTGAATAAGCGATACACATGAGTAATACATATCCCCCATGACCGCCAACCAATCACACCCTTAGACGCTAAGGTAAATGAACAAGCATTTGCCACCAAGGTATACTAATGTAAACAACAACACATTACAACCTAGACATACGTATCTAAATAAACCACATATAGATCGGATACTTAGGTAAATAAACAACCTACATCCACTCGGATACTTAGGCAAATAAACAATATACAGAATCCAAGAAATGTCAATTAAATAGACATGTAGTCGCTGACCATGCTAAGGTAAATATACAATATGTAGCCCCTGGACATATTTGGGTAAATAAGCAGCATATAGTCCCTGGACATAATAAAGTAAATAAACAACATATAGCCTCATGTTGGTTGGTTTGTTGTTTAACGCCGCACTCGGCAATATTCCAGCCCATGTACTAGCATATACTTGGGTAAATATACAACATATTGCCCCAGGAAATACAAGGGTAAATAAACAACATATAGCCTCTGGATATACTTGGGTAGGTAAACTACATATATCCTATGTATATACTTGGGTAAAAACAACAACATATACTCCCTGGATATACTTGGGTAAATTTACAAAATATAGCCCCTCGACAAACTTCGATAAATAACGACATATATAGCCCCTCCCCGGACATAATAAGGTTGACACACAACATCAAGCATTCTGGGCTCATACCTGCGGCATACTTGCAATGACACTGAGCGTCCATGCCACACCCAACATGATTTTTCCCCGGCGGTCAGCGTCGTGGATGCTCATAGGGTGCACGATGGAGAAGTACCTGTCGAGGCTGATGGTGACGAGGATGAAGGACGACAGGTAGAATCCAAACGCCCTACAGAACATCATGAATCTACAGGCCAGATCTCCAGCCTCCCAGGCAACAGTTATGTGCCACACTGTCTCCAGGGGGAGCATGATGAAGGCGACGATCAGATCGGCTATAGAGAGATGCATGATGAAGGTGTTAACACGCGATTTGAAACCCCGACTTCGGAACAGGGTCACAAAGACGATAAGATTTCCGGATGCAGCGACTATGAATAAACATATGTAAGCTATGACGGATACCATGTTGTCATCATTGAATGTCATCTCCCGCGGTAAAGGTGTGGAAAGTTCAGACCGGTTACAAGCAGCCAAGCTGACAACTTTAGGCAGAGCCTGGGTGGGGTAGGACAACACGGTCGGGGGATCAGTCGTTGTTGGGCGAAGCGGGAACATGGCCGAGCAGTTGTTGTTATCCACTGCTCTGTAGGAGAAGAAATGGGCTTGGTGTGTACCCATGCCGAACTGTAGCATCACCTTAGCCTTGTTTACATCCCTACTCCCCACACACTGACTGCTGCTATGGCTACCTCCGCTTCTCGATACGCTGCCGATGTGGTTACACGGCCGTCTCGCAGCTGTGAAGTACTCAAAAACTATTTTGATTCCGTTAAACAGCTTCGATTGATGGGTGACAACTGTTCGCAATGTCGTTAACGCCTTCTGCTTGCATACGCCAGAGACTGGACGCCGTCAGAGAGCACACAGATGAATATGCGAGCTAATTTCTGTCGTTATTACACTAAAATGAAAAGTCGCGCTTGCTGTGCAGTCTTTCCGCTTACAGTATCTCTCCCGGAATAACCTTGGTCGTCGTCGATCAATCCGCCACGTACACACGCCTGCTTTGACTGGATCCGGCCTTTCAGTAACTGTTCTCTGTTCTTTGTTCAAAGTCGATTGACTCCTATATATGTATCAGAACAGCCCTATTGCTTGTTAGTGTATGGTATGATGATGTGTACTACATAATATTTCACAGTAGGGGCACTTCTATCAAGGCGTGCTTCTCTGGTTATCTCTATGTAAAGCTTATTAGATGGACTGATTAACGAACATAAACTTGTGAACATGAATAAAATTGACAATATTTGTTGTAAGAATGGATTCAGCAAGTTTCTTTATCTTGTTTGATACGTATTCCTTGTGTGGACCAAAATTAGCAATATTCCAGCTATACGACGGTGGTCTGTAAATAGTGTAGTTTCAGACAAGATATAAACAAATGAAAGAATGAGATAAAATAATCAGCATCTTGTTACATATTCGAGGTAATGAAACCTTCACAATAATATTTTGAAGAGCCCCTCCTGTGAAAGCCTATTCCATCTTGAAACGTGTATTCCTCATTAGGAAGTGTTACGCACGTGTCATTCACGCATGCATGATTCTAATTCCAATACTTCGATGATAATGTTTCGGGTTATTTTTGGCCTGCTGCCGCCGGTGGGGCCAGACACACACACATTTAGCGAGCATCATCAATCAATCATCAGTTATTTCTCAATGCAATGCATTTCTCGGTGGTGCAGGAGAAAAAAAGGTTCTTAACATGATAATACACTTGTATTTAACACGAAGTCGGTTATACTGTACAACTATTTGGCGTTAATTTAACATTTTGCTTGAAAATTTGTATGACCATTTAAACAGAAGCACATACACAAACAAGCACACATACATACAGTCACACTTAAAGGTACTTATCTATTATACATATCAATCTTGCAAGGTTCTTGGTATTTTTTACATTTCTGGTCCTCAACAATTGTTTGTATTATATTATATTAGGAAACTGTGTATTTTATTCGAGATAAATTTGGATCTGGATTCCCATTTAAACAGGTAGTGGACGATATGCACAGTTTTCATGTCATAAATTCTCTATCTATACCAAGCCAACGGTCAACTTCGACAGGTAGATTATGGTTATAGGTTCTATGTTTCAGAATAGGATAATAAATGTGTTTAGATAGGAGAGAATTCAAATGGCGAGATGTTTTTTTATAAATATTTATAATACCCCTTTGAACTTCTATCGACGTCAGATCTCCAATTTTGAAAGAACTGATCTTTTAAATTATTTTCTATCCGAGCAATTAGCAAATCGCTTGAACCGCTTTGTGGGTCATAAAATTCATAGGTCAGTAATTAAGTATTTACCTCACATTTCCTATCCAGGCATGTTTCTCCTTATCAGATAAAAAATGCAAATGAGCGAACTTATAGATACGTTGCGATAATTTCGGTGCAGGTCCGGGTTTACAAAGTTTATGCCAGAAAATGAGTACCCGTCTAGCTGCATACATCGATAAAGGTATTCTGCATAAAACCATAACATTTGGGATCCAATTCTAAGACCGCAGGCTAGTTTAAGGAATTTCAAATAATCTTTTCAATTATGTTCATATTTTCGTATACCCAAATTCCACAGCCATATAATAATATTGGTAATATCATTCCACTAAAAACCTGAAGTAAGCAGTCCAAAGGAAAATTATAATTGCTAGATTTTTTTAGAAGATAGAACATGGCTTTAGATGCACTCTCTGATAAACATTTTATTTGGGGCTTTCTGTTTCTACTGATATAAAAACTAAGTACGTTTAATTGTCCACGATATCAAGTTCCGTGTTCTTCAAATAAAAATAACCAACTGTTTTGGGACGGCCCGCTTCCAATACATATCAAATACAAAGATGTTATCATTCGTAGAGCAACCCTTTCTAATCCGGCTTGCGCTGAGGTTAAGACATTATTTATCTCCAGGAAATTATGTAATTTATTATTCCAATGCAACGAAGTATTGTAATGGGTCTGTAAGCGTAGGGTCTGATTTGGTACTTCCCCCTTGTAGATAGGGCGCATAAAGCCAGAAAGCAATGCCTAATGCAATATTCTTGAAGATAATATCAAATTAAAATAATCGACGAAAAAATTTCCAAAAGCTTCAAACGAATTAATAAGGTAATCATTCTCAATTTTGTCAGCCCCTGAGGTTTTGTTACGTTTAAGGCTCTTAATGGACTGTGCTATTTCATTAAAGGTTAAGTCATTATTCAAAACATTGTCATCATGATCTAAAACTACATTTTCTTCATTTATTTCCAAATCACCCTCATGGTGTTCACCATTGCCCTTAAAATGTTTTACAAAAACCCAGTGATATTGAACGTTTGTGTGTTTGTGTGTTGTTGAACGCCACACCCTGCAATGTTCCAGCTATATGACGGCGGTCTGTAAATAATCGAGTCTGGACCAGACAATCCAGTGATTGATATGATAAACATCGACCCACACAATTGGGATATGATGACATGTATCAACCATCAACCAAGTCAGCGAGCCTGTCCACCCGCTCCCGTTTGTCGCCTCTTACAACAACCATTGTCGCCTTTAGCGGCAAGTCTGGGTTGCCGAAGACCTATTCAACCCCGGATCTTCAGGGGTCGATATTGTGATTCATGAACACACGCTTACGATACAGTCGGAGTAGTACAGTTTTCTTATGATAATGACGAAATGGTTTTGTCGCATTTGTTTGTATAATTGTCGTAATGCTTAGAATCAATCGCGGATAACACCTCGCCATTAAACTAAAAAATATATGTTCCAATAAGTACATTCTCCCAACTGTTATTGCCGATCCACACTGCATCACTCAAATGTCATGAAAATATAGATTGATGTTACACACACCTGTTGAGTACCGAATTAGCCAATACTGCGTTTTGATAGTATCTCGCGGTAATGTAATATTGGCATCTATCATATATGTCTGAATATTGAGGATAATGTTGCAACTGAGTAGATAATGTTATCTCATAATGTCATTGTACTACCGATCAAGCAGTAAGACTATATTTCACTCCACTCTCTGAACGTATCCTCTGACCGTCACAAAGTTAATTCCACTACTGCGTCATGATGATGATGTTAGCTGAAATGATGCGTCAGGTGACCAGGTGACAAGATAAAGACTGACGTAATGTACCACGACAAGAACTGGGGAAACGTGACGCATACGAAGTGTATTATTGTACTTTCATGTGCACTCGTCTCATCACACAGTTATTCCTAGACGGAAATTAAGACGAGGTGTGATAATACTTGCTTGATATTCTCAAAGATTGTATGATGCTCTGGGTTGGGTATATCAACCTTTGGATATTCTTGTGCTGTGTGTGTTCTATCCTTGTGAGGGGATTCCGTGAAGTAAGCAACAGAATATATTGGACATGACTGTATAGGATATCCTTTATGAGGGGATTCCGGGAAGTAACCAACAGAATAAATTGGACATGACTGTATAGGATATCCTTTGTGAGGGGATTCCGGGAAGTAACCAACAGAATATATTGGACATGACTGTATAGGATATCCTTTGTGAGGAGATTCCGGGAAGTAACCAACAGGATACATTGGACATGACTGTATAGGATATCCTTTGTGAGGGGATTCCGTGAAGTAAGCAACAGAATATATTGGACATGACTGAATAGGATATCCTTTGTGAGGAGATTCCGTGAAGTAACCAACAGGATATATTGGACATGCTGTATAGGATATCCTTTGTGAGGGGATTCCGTGAAGTAACCAACAGAATATATTGGACATGACTGTATAGAATATCCTTTGTGGGGAGATTCCGGGAAGTAAGCAACGGAATATATTGGACATGACTGTATAGGATATCCTTTGTGGGGAGATTCTGGGAAGTAAGCAACAGGATACATTGGACATGACTGTATAGGATATCCATTGTGAGGGGATTCCGGGAAGTAAGCAACAGGATACATTGGACATGACTGCATAGGATATCCTTTGTAAGGGGATTCCGGGAAGAAAGCTACAGAACATATTGGATATGACTGCAAAGTGAGTGAATGAGTTAAAATTTAATGTCGCAGCGGCATGGTCTTCACTGGACATGCTAGAAAAGTGATGGGGCGGGGCTTCCTTCTTACAGAGAAAAGAACTGTGTTTTGAAGCACTGGTAGCAGCATTTTGAAGTACATCGATCCATCATTCACATGCAAGCAATACGTTAACACATAGTATACAACTGTGGTTTCTCTGCTGCAACAAGGAGAGGAGTGCGTCCTTTGATCTCGCACAACACACTTCGTACAGGTATTTTTGGCTTTCACAGATTCATATCTTTAAAAAATGATAGTTGTATAAACTTGGCTTAATTGTTCGATACTGTAACATTTTCACATAGAAAGAGTGGTATATACCCTTTCGATACCTGGGTATGTATGGTAATTGTTAACATCAAGACCTTCCTAACTAGAAAAGACATCCCAATCTCCACAGCAACACATGGTTCGACACAAAAGGTACATAATCTTTAACTGTGTGAGCTTTGCCTGTTTCCACCACTGGGTTACGAGTGGGGCCCAAGCCGACCCCAGTGCACTTAAGAGATAATAACGGAAAATTTACAATTTCAGCCT